AGGTCAAGAATGGTTTAAATAAACGTTTTCAGTTTTAAAGTTGTTACAGTCATTCTACGGTGCTTCAACTCTTACTATCGTCTTTAAAACTGCTGTTGAAATGTTGCTGAAAAGTACATGGGAGTTAAGCGTTTGCCGGGGTTACCCCAGTTACAGTGGGTGCTCCGAGGTAGGGCGGCAGCATCGCTTTTCTCATCGCGAGTGGTGGGACGTTGGGTTTGGGTCGGTTGCCAGAAATGCGGAGGAACACGTGAAAAAAGTAACAGAGCTTGAAAACTATGGTTCATGGGACAGAAAGAGCGTGTAAGAGGGAGGAAAAGAGGGGCAAGACTGTGCTGGTGTTTCACGTTTCAGGAGTGTTGCGATCGCGTTGGGAAAACATTCATTGAAAAAGGGCTGAGGGACGCTGCAGAGCTTTGGGGACAAAAGGAAGTTGAATTTAATTTCCATCTTCACTGCTCCTGGTGGGATATGGGGAAAGCACAAGTTTTAAGATGATTGGAATACTGATTGCTGAAGGAGAAGAAATAAAGAGATCAGAAATGCTGAAAGTTGGCAGAAGCACGTTGAAGTGCAGGCCACCCCTCCTGCCCACCGAAGAAAGGAAGCCTATGGGGATGGCTTTAATGGAATCATGAGATTTGCAGAGCTTTTGAGGGAGATTTTTACAGCGTGTTCTGCTCAGTTCCTGGAGAAGCCAGATGAAATCCTTTAGAGACAAGCACTGTATATGACTTTAGGTTTGTATTTGCATTTCAGTAGTAGTCAGAGGTCTCAGTCATGGTGGTGAATCTGTTCGAGTAGGAACTGTCTAGCTGCAAAAATCAAACTTTGTTTCTTTAGACATGGGGTAGGGGGTCTGTCCTTGGGCTTATGTTTGTGTTTGACAGGATACCATGTTGTTAATTCGCAGTCACTGATGGATTCTTGTTGTCTGGTTTGTTTCTTAACTTTCAAGCAGTCTCATGCTCTGAAAAGAAAGCTCCAGTCACCACATGGAAACCCACCTTTGAAACGGAAACATAAGCCATCAATAAACTCCTTTAAGAAATCTGCTGGAGAAGCTGACATCAAGGAAAAGGGAAGTTCATCCCAAAAATCCCTTCCTAAGGAGCAGTTGGCTGACAAACAACATGAAAGCCAGAAAAGCAAACCTTTCATTAAGACGTCCAGCCTGTTCAGAAACAACCCTGATATCCCGGAAATTCACAGGTATTTTAGACAAATGGGAGGAAAAAAAAACCTTTCAGTGCCTTGAAATTCAGTGTCTTGAATTTCTGCCCTTGCTTGGGCAAAGCAGTTGCTTGGTACCCGTAGCTTCATTGCTGTGTATGTGGAGTACTGCTGGACAGTTTTTAACCACACCGTGTGCTTTGTTTTGGTTTGTGTCCCCTAACTCAGGAAAGCAGTGCAGCCGGTGCAGGAAAACGTTTTCACAACAGATTCTTTTAGCCAGTTGGACCTCCATCCGCATCTGGTGAGTGGCAGGAAGGCGGTGTGGCTTGACACGTGCTTTTTTGGGGCGGGGGGCAGGTTAGGGAGCTGAGAGATGCGCCTTTATTCCTGGTGACTTGGACAGACCGGCCAGTACTTTGCCTGATTTTGTTGCAGGCTCTTAGCTCAGCGTGCTGGCCAGTGGTCCGGCCCATCCCCAAACACACTGCCCCAGCACTCTTCGCCGTTTGCAGTTGTAATACCAAAAAACCCATTTGAGAACACATCTGGTATTTCGTGATGTACCAGTGATGGTGTAAGACTGATTAACCAAGAAGTATTTTGTGGTCCCGAGAACTTTTACATCCAGTGGCCCTGGGCCAGTAATGCAGAGAATAAACATCAGTCTTCTGGCTTTTGCTCTGTCTTGTGCTCCAAAAAGTCACAAAAGGAGGAGTCTGACAATGAAACCTGTTCTGTTATCTCTCTAGATATCCACAATAAACACTGTCCTAAAGATAAGTAGCATGACCAGGTAAGCAAATGCGTATAAAAACTTTGCACCTCACTACCCCCTAAAGCCGATCATGTGTGGTGGTTTCGTGGTACGTCATCGGTTTGTGAAGACCACGGTGCCTGTTAAACTGTCCCGTTTGCCCTAAGGTTGTTTGCTTTCAAAACCTTGGGCGAGAAAGGACTGGTAAGTTACACAGCGAGTCAGTTGTCCGGCTGGAGGTGGAACCTTGGCGTCCCGCCTCCTGATTCGGTACCTGAATCAGAATAATCGTTTCTTCAGTTGATCACGTGTGATGTCTGTCTGGTGTCGTTCCCCAGAAATCACCTCTGCGGGTGTAGCCGCGCAGCAGAGATGGGTGTGTGGGATTTGGGGCAAACGGTTTTGAAAGAGTTGCTGTATGTTAGCACTTAGGGTTCTGTCCTTCCTTGCGTTTGCATCCCCTAACCTGCTTTGTTTGTACGCAGTGTTCAGAAGCAAACAATTCCTGTGCTCCTGCAAGGCAGAGATGCTCTAGTGAGATCTCAGACTGGTTCAGGTCAGTGTTCATTGCCAGCCTCCTTCCCTAGGGCATAGTAAACTGGATCCCAGATACAGAACTGAAACCTCACGTTCCCAGTGCAGCTGACAAAGGTGACAGGCTGGGAAGCCTGGCCGCGGGGCTGCCGTGGCACAGACAGGTGCCGTGCAGACTTCTGTCACGGCGCAGCGTGGGGCTGAGTGTTGATGTGCAGCCGCTGCATGAGGGCCTGGCCCAAGGCTCGCGCTCTCACCGCACCCGCTTACCTGCTCGCTCAGCAAACTGTGCCTGGATGTCTCATTCCTGGGGTGGGTGGGTGGGGAAATTTATTTAGATAGAACTTAATGGGATACCGCCACCACTTTCTTAAATTTAAGCCTTCGGTGAATTGCCTGTCAATCCCTGTTCTGGAAGCTTTCTGCTCAATTAAAACTTTTCCAGATGCTGAGCTCAGTTTAGGAATGGTAGGATGAATGGTGCTTTGATTTGCTGAAGTGCTGTAATTGCCACTTACTTTGATGATGAAAAGACTTCCGATTTTCTCCCTTTTAAAAAGGTAAAACTCTTGCCTATGGAATTCCACTTGTACAGTCTTTGCAAGGAATGGAGTCCAAAATACAGGTAGGTGCAGCAGAATTAAGTGTGTTTGCTTTTGATATTAAGATTAATAAGAATAAAATCCAGCTCTTATCTTGTAGTCGTCACTGTCCCTTCTTGATACAAAGGTCAAGCAGTCTCTCTCCCCTTTATCGATGCGTGTGGCGTATGTGATCCTCCTGGACTGCTGGGATGCAGGTGATGCAGGAACAGTGTGACACGTTCCGTTACTTCATGCAGTAGGCTAAATTGTCAGCTTGGAGAAGGTAGAGTGCGGAAGAGGCAATGGTCTGGAAGGTGGGAGAACAAAAACAAAGGTTATTGCCATTTCTTTAGGAGTAGTAAGTCTCGACTCTTTGATGTGGAGTGAGATTTGATAATTGTTCCCAGTTTGGATCATCTGGTTGAAGAGAAAATGCTGCTGCAGATCTGCCGTCTCTTGTGTGTTTTATGGGAAGACAGCATCCTGGCTTTCCTTATGGGTTGAAGTGTTTCCAACCCATCCTGGATTCTTGCTTTCTGCACCTGCTACCTACAGGTGCTTGCTGTGCCCCAAACCTCCGAGTGTTTCTGCAACTCGGACACACGAGAGTGAAACAATATGTGTTTGGAGTGAAATGTTGGGTGTGACCCTGAGCCGGTGTCCAAGCAGGAAAGAGCAGGCCATGCAGTACTGATACTGGAAAGACTGTTGACTTTTTTTTTTTTTTTTTTTAAACCTGGGTGGGGGGAGTACCCCAAACTGTTGCGTGCAAACTCGTGTGAAAACCCTTGAGAACTCACTTTGTTGGTAATAGCAGTTGGAGGTGGAAGCGCTGCATTCTTCTTAGTGGACCTTTTGTCTTCTCTCTTCGCAGCGCAGCGATGGGCCTTATGCACTCGTACTGGTCCCAACAAGAGAGGTAGGTGGCCTTTTTATTTTTGCTTTCTGTCTGAATCTGAGTGTTTGAACACTGTTTTTTAGCGTGTAGATGTGGGTCGACCAGGGACTGTCTTAAGAAACATCGCCAGTCCTTTTGCTCCGATCTTGCCCTCGCGGAGCGTTTGCTCTCTGGATGCACGTTGTCAGCTTTGATCAGTGCCATGCCAGAGTAAGAAAGAAGGAATCTCTTAAGTTTTCCTGATGCAGTTGGAAATAATTGTGGAGACTGGAAAAACTCTCTAGCTCGGTGCATGGGAGGGAGAAGCTTGCCTACCTCACACAAGGGGAGTGAGCAAAACCAAGGAAATCAGCTTTGCAAATGTGTAGGTTTATATAAACGTTTCATTTTTAAAGCCCTTTTTTCAAATCCATAGTGAATGCCGGTTATGAGGCTTCCAGGAGTTGGTTTCTCCAGTGAACTCTTTCATTTGATTTATACTATTTGCGATTGTAAAGGCAATTTCAGAGAAGGGTATCAACCCTTTTTTTTTTTTTTAGTGTGTTTTTGTACGTCAAATGATAATAACTTCCATGTGGAGAATTGCTTGCAGGTATCTGTTTGGGGCACAATGTTTTATGCAACCTGCAGTGCAATATCTCAGCTTGGCTCTGTGAAAGGAGGAAGCTCTGAAGCTATTTAAATTTTTACAGCAGCAAACTTACTGCCTCTCCGGGATGCTCCATGAATACTAAGCGTGTAGGAAACTGTTCGTAAGCTTGTTTGAAGGGCTGCCATTGAGAGTACTTATGAAGATAATTTGTGATTACACTTTTGCTTTGTATTGAAGGCAATGGCCTTGCTTGAGAGCTTGACAAATAATATCACGTAGCACGTGTAGTCAGAGCATTTAAAATAGTTTTACTCCCAGAACTACGCCCCGCTGACGCACTCATCATGCCTTGAACGGGTCAGGGCGGCACCGCTGCCTCTCGGTCGTCTTCCTTGCCGCAGCAGCAGTGGCTGTCAGACAGCACGTGAAACCCGGCAGCAAAATGCTCCCTGCTGCCCGGACGTTTGGGTTTGCAAGCTTTGCACAGAGCATCTCTTCTGCTGACGGGGAGACGGAGGGGTAGAAAGGCCCAGTGGCACGATCACCCGAGCTAATGTGGTCTGCCCTGACTGCCAGATTGCAGACCCCTGGGCCACGTTCCCTTTTCTTCGTGGCTTTCTTCCAGGGATTGTGACGTTTTCCCTTTGCTCTTCCAGCGGAGCAAACTCTTCCGTGGGTTCAACTTGTTCTCTCCTTACGGCATTCTCAGAAGCCAGCAGAAGTGTCTGTTGTCCCGAGAGCTGGCTTGTGGAGCTGAACCAATAGCGAGGTTTTCAAACAGGTCCGAGTACATGAGGGAAGGATTCTGCAAGAGAATAAGATAATAACCAGCTTCTCTAAGAAGAACTAAGGAGAGAGTTAGAATTCTGATGATATGCATAACTAGATCAGCTTGCAGAGTTTTGAGCCAAAGGGGGGTGTTGTCCATCTTTGTAGTCCCGGGACTTTTTCAGACCTCACTTTCTTTTGTTGATTTCCATAGCTTGCCCTCCAGAGTTTTGATACCATGCAGAAACTACTGAAGGTAAGAACTCGGTGCTCTGTGTTGTTCTCATTCCTTGAGCCTCGTGCTGTAAGATGCCAAGCAACTTCAGTGCCCATGAATTCAGCTGGATCTTTAAGGAAATCCAGCATCTGGCAAGATGTATGGTCCTTAAAGACAGGTCTGTTTGTGTTTGGGAGCGAGTTCCCTGTGGCGTGTTTTAAGCTATTACATGAACAATTAAGCAATTAATTACGGCACCTTAGCTGCACATGTTCTCGTAAACGAGCGAAGTGGATTTTCACCATGTTTTGTTCTTAGAAGCACCTACCATTGTTTCGGTCTGAGTTATGAGTGGAAACTCTCGCCGTGACAAGTACCGCTTTCCTGAGACTAACGCTGGACAGATGGGTTTCAGATGGGGAATAGAACTTGGTGAACTGCTTTGCCAATTGAATGGCTGGAGAAATTAGAAGGCTTTTAAAATCATTAAATGATAGTGCTTTCCTTTTAATTGAGGCAGAGTATCTTCCCCTGGGGCTAGAAAGTATCTAAATCATTTATCTGATCTATATTCCCACTCCCTTTTCTGGTTTTTTCCTTGAAATAATAAGGCACTTTCCGAGTCTTTTTTTAGTGCTGGAATTGCCAAGTAAAGATCTTGTTGTGTCATGCTGAGGTTTAAAGTACTTTGCTCGTCTTCTGCTGTAAGAAGTTATTATGAGTGGGCTTGTGATGTTCTTCAGAGGATGGAGTCGGGACTGACCCCCTGTAATTTGGTTTTGTGACATATAATGTGTAGTAACCGCCCAGCCCAGTGCAGACTGTCACAGTGACCCAAAGCAGAAGACGTAGATCGTGGTCTGACTGGACCTTGGAAGGGCTGGAGGGTGTAATATGATGATGCAGGTGCTGAGAGAGACAAAGGCTGGTTTTGCTGCTCCTGACACAATTACTCTAGTGCCAGCTACTCAGCTTGTATCGCCTGGGTCTCGCTTAGACATCTTCCTCATTTTAAACCTTAAAAGCAACTCTTTTTGTAGAAACTATTTTGTTGGAGCATTTCTGGTGAGTGGTGACCCGTGCAGACTGACGCCTATTGGGCAGTCACGCATTTGTGCCATCCTTAAGCTGCGCTCTGCGTCTGTCCCGTGTGAGGCAACGGCTGGGCTGTGCTTTGGTTATCTCCCCCGTAAATACGGGGCAGCACTGGGTTCAGTGAAGGGTTGGACCTCGTTAAAGTAAGCGGCAGAAACTCCTGCCAGTATCACGGAGGCTGACGGTGTTCACAGACGTAGGTCTGTGTACGTGTGTGTGTCTATTTATAAACTTTACAGATCCTGTGTTTTTCTTACATTTTCCTTGGCCACGGGAAGATACTGCTTAAAGGCAAGATGAAGAAATAGCCTTGTAGCTTGTCTTTGAACATTCAGACTACATGGGGAGAAAGAAAAGAAATATTATTATGTGATTGGAAGTGGGGCAAAAGTGATTGTATTTCGATCTTCTGGGATTGTGGGAAGTAAAGGTGCTGTTGAGCGGTAGCGGTGGGTGAGAGTGCATGTCGGCTGTATCTGTTGGGTCAAATCAGATAACGCTGCTGCCAGCCCCAGTCCCTTCTCTGTTTGCCAAGATCCATCATTTTTGGATTAGGCTGTTTCTCTTTATTAAGAAAAATCTATACTGGTCTTGGTTTTCCTTTCTATAGCCATTTGCCTGGATTGTGCCTGGAGTGCTAATGGGGGGAGAAAAGAGAAAATCAGAAAAAGCCAGGTAGGAAGCCGCCTTCTTAAATTGTATTTTGGGTTCTTCTGCTCTGCAGCGTGTTTATCTGATGCTCCTCTTCAGAGTGCTTTTCTTACTGGGGGAGAGGATTGCGTGTTGGCTCAAGCTGTGATCCCCCTGGATCTTACACAGACACTGCGACTGGGTCAGCAGCCCAGTTGGATCTATTTCTAAAATGCTGATGAGCCTTCTGAGAAGATGATCTCTTGTGTCAGTGTGTTTTTTTTTTTTTCCTCCTCTGACAAACACCTGTATTTGCTTACCACTGAGTGCTCTCTACAATATTTCTTATGGGGGAAATTGCTTTCTGGAGAAGAGATTTCCTGGTGTTAAAAATCTCTTTCCAGATTTGAATTGTAAGCTGGTAATCCAAAATGGAATTTTCATTTCTCTATATATAAGCATACACAAAAGTTTACTCTTGACAGTAAAAAAAGTACCCAGTTAGAGAAGAAAACCGAGCCTGCGTGTTTTAGCTTTCTGGTTTTTAACATTATTAATGTTTCTCTTCACCCTGTCCTTGTCACTGAGTATTTCTCTGAGCATCAGTGATGATTAAGGATAACATGTAGCTGTGCAAGACACTTCAGTTTTAATCAGCGAGAAAGTACTGTCCCAGTTAATTCTCTATGGCCGTGATTTTTTCCTCTGTAGGTTCCAGCTCCTCACTCTGAGTTCCTATTCCAGAGTTACTGCTAACCTGTATGTTTTCCTTTCTTTTTTCTTTCTTTTTTTTTTCTTGTTTCTTTTTCTTGTGCTGTGGTTTGGTTTTGTGTTTTTTTGGATTTTTTTTTAATCTCAACAGATTACGTAAAGGGATAAATATCCTCATTTCAACTCCTGGTCGCCTGGTTGATCACATCAAGTCCACAGCATGCATTCATTTCCGTCGCACTCAGTGGCTGATTATTGATGAAGCAGACAGGTAAACATCCGAGTATTCAGATATGGGAAATCGTCGGGATTCCCTCTGCACAGTAATTCACTGAATACTTTTTTAAAATAAGCGAGAGTGAACGTGTGTGCAGCCTTAAGCTGTTCATGCTCAGTGGCCTCAGCCAAGCACCAGCTATCAGGGATTAGGAAGAAGTGTCCCCTTTGGACAGATTGCTGTACCGTTATTCGTCGCAGATTCTCCCAGTGTCTTCTGACGTGTCTGACCCCAGCCAGAGTCGAAGATGGAACATGCAGCTAGACGGGCCAAAGATGTCATCAGCTCTAGCAGTTCCCCTGTTCCCAGTTGGCTTGTGTAGCGTTAAGACTTCCTCCTCATTCCTTCCTACAGCATCTTTCATCACCTCTGTTGTTTTTGTAGGATCCTGGACCTGGGCTTTGAGAAGGATGTAGCTGTGATACTCAATGCTTTAAATGCCGACAAGGAGATGCGTCAGAATGTGCTGCTCTCAGCCACCCTCACGGAAGGTGTGTTACAGGCAGATCGTGTCTCTTTTAACTGAATAATGCACAGGCAACTGCAAAATAGTTGGCTGAGTCTGATTATGTTACAGCCCAGCTTGAGGCCATCCCCAGAAGTGGAATAACAATGCCTGTTGATTTCTTTGGGCTTATGACGCTTGTCCTCCGTTACTGGAATTTCTATCAGCGTATATACTTCCATGGTCCTTAGATATGTCTCTCCAATTCCAGAGCAAAGTCACTGTGAACCTGGGAAGCACTAGTTTCTTTGTTCTACAAATACAGAATCAAGGAAAAGAGCTAACGACAGGACAGCTGCTGTGTGAGGTGCTCAGTATCGCACAAGAAGTCAGTTGCTGAGGCAGAAATCGCGCCAGGCCGCATGACTCCTGCGCTCTTGGCACGGTGAAGATCTGGTGCTTTCTTTGAGCACGCACAGTTAAAGAACAGGGCTTCCCAATGCTGTCTGTCTGGCCAAGGCATTTATGCGATGTAACATAGCACAGTTGGCTGAAGCAGTGTCTTGTGATGCTTTTGGTGGAGTCCCCAGCATCTCCGCCGGGCCAAGCCCTTAGGAGCCTGAAGTTTGTGGAGGTGTTGTGTCAGTGTCCAAGGCATGGCTCGTTAGTTCTTTGCCCTTCGCTGCTTTTCCCTGGAATTGTGTTGGTTGGTTTTGTTATGTGAAAGTATAACACCCTCCCCCCAGCAGCACCCCGGACCTCATGTATTTTTCGTTTTCTGTGATTTAGGGGTAACACGGCTGGCCGATATCAGTTTGAATGATCCCGTCAGCATTTCCATAGCAGATGAAACCCAGAAGGCGCTCAAACCAGCGTCACAAATGGAAAGACAAGCTCGTAGTTCATCAGACTGCCTGGAGCAGGAGAACTTTGCTGTTCCGATGAAACTCAAGCAGTATGTCATGATGGTGCCCAGCAAATTGAGGCTTGTCACGTTAGCAGCTTTTATCCTTGAGAAATGCAAGGTGAGACTCCGTTTGCATTTATATTGCTAAGTAGTTCTTTGCCCTTTCCAAGTCCCTTGTCTGTTCCCTTGTCAAGGAGAGCATGGATTAGGGCTTTGAAGTGTGTCTAGTGTACTGGGAGCCACAAGAGAGCGGAGGGGCTGTTGTGCCTTTCAGGCTGGCAGTGAGGTACCAGTGCAGCAAGTACTCAGACTTCCTTTGTGAGCTCAGTATTGGGTGTCAAACTCCATAGTCCTTTCCTGGATAATTGTGTCCGGAAGCGGAAGCCACCTAGATGACAATGATCAGGGAACTGAGACAAGCCTGTGGAAATGGTCATGTACAACTTACTTGTTTTTCTTGTAGTTTGAAAAGCACCACAAGATGATCATCTTTTTCTCCAGCTGTGAACAAGTGGAATTCTACTATGAACTCCTTCTGAAGGTCCTGTCAGGAGGGCTGGAGTCAGAACAACCTGAACATTCATCTGTCTCCTCTGCGCGCTTACAGTTTCTACGACTGCATGGTAACATGGAACAGGAAGTAAGTAGTCTCAGTTTTATTCCTTATTCCCTGTGATTTATTATGTGGTTATTTTGGGGAGGAGGGCAGAAGAGAGGACAGAGAGTCATTTCACCTCTAGGGGCCTCACTCTTCCATCTGCTAATGAGAATAAGAATATTGTCCCACTTCTGGAAAGTACCTTGGTAGCTATATCAGAAAAACACAGCTGAAGAGGCAAGAGGTGTTATTTCAGCAGGCTGAGGCAGCCGTTCTGTATTCCCAGTGGGTGCACTTAGACCATTTATGTATCCATGGTTCTCTCTTGTGCAGTCAAGACAGGCTTTTAATGCCAAAGGAAAACCTCATCCAAGCCCCAAAAACGACTGCCCAATACGTTGGCCCCATTAGATGAGGATGGAGCAGTTTGGCTTTGGTACTGAAGAACAGTGTCCTGACAGACTGCTCCTCTTCCTGGGATGGAATAATAGCAATATAACAGTGATACCTCAAAGCAGATTTAGATTTTAGCCAGTGATGGGATTGGAGCTTGCTGCAGAGGGCTGAGAGGCCAGGAGTGGAGTGTCAAATGAACTGTCACGACAGCCTTTCTCTCAATAGCTGAGGGACCTCCCTTGAAAGTTCAGTCCCTGATCCTGCCGTTGGTCTGTGATGGAGAGAGTTACCGCTCTACTCTGAGCTGCACAGCAGAGATGGTAAATGAATAGAGCTCTTCTGATGAAGGAAGAGGTGAAGAGCCATTGTTTTTCTTGCTCATTCCCATCCTGTGGAGACCAGAAACATGTGCTTTGCTGTCCCTGCAGTCTGGCCTCTCCTCAACCTGCCTGCCTGAGCGAGTGAGCAGGCCTGGTCTGGCCCAACTCTACCCAGACCAGCTGTTAAGCCAACAGAACACCACTAAGTAGCTGGCACCAGGGGAAGGGTTTTGCCTTTTTAGTACCCAGTGTGTAATTAGTGCTTGATGTCTTCAAATTAAGAGCATTAATGGAGCTAAATTGTGGATCCCATATGGTACTGCTGAGCACGGCTGCTGTCATTGTCAACAAGATACAGCGTGCTCTCTTCTTTAATTTTTGTCAGCAGAGGGTTCGGTGTGTCGGCAAGGCCCAAGTTTCCCTTCTTTCCTAGAACAGTACCTCTAGCTGGGAGTCAAGTATGTAAGGTTTCTTCTGTATCATCAACATAAACAGGACATTCACTTAACTCCTAGCTGGAGCTCTAAGGAGGAAGGCTTGAAACATGGAAACAAGGATATTTTGGAAGGAGGAAGCAAAAGGGACAGGAAAAAACAAGTATGGTGCTTCGGAGGCCAGAGACGGCCTGAGCTCTGAGAAGGAAAAGAGTAAATGGAATCAGATCGAGGGATGTGAGTGAGCGGTTGTTTCCCACAGCTAAGGAGAGGGAGTGTGGGTGGATAGGCTGTGCTGGCACGTGAAGACCTATTGCTACCAAAGCCTTCGCTTCCCGGTGCTCAGAGATTGTCTTCTGTGATAGCAGGTGTCGTTGTGATGTAATGTGGGCTGAAGAATTGGGTTCTGTTGCTTTTAACAAGAAAAAAACACACCCCAAAGTAGTCAGTTTAACTAACTGGAGCGTGCTTAGGGAGGTTTTGGGACTGACAAAGCAGGAGGCTTTTGAAGGCAAGGGAGGATCCGTGCTGCCGGGTTCCTGCGGTTCTGGGGCTCCGCGGCCCCAAGGCTGCTGCGGGGTGATTGGGGTGTGGGGGCTGTGGGCAGCCCTGCCTGGGAGCCTGAGCCCACGGGAGAAGGGGGCTGCAGGAAGTCTCCTGGTGCAGACCAGTGGTGAGGACAAGGCTGGGAGCACCTGCCCCTGACCCTTGTGGGAAGGAGCGCCCCCCATCCCGCTGTCAGCAGCCCTTTTGGCGGCCCTCGCCAGTACAGGGCCTTTCCTTGTGGGAAGGCGATGGGAGGGTGCCCTGGGAGCTCTGTGGCAACTGCCTGCAGGGCCCAGGTCCTGCCTCCTTGCCCCCTTGGGCAGGGTTTTCTGGCCAAGGTCTTATCTCTCCTGCCCTGTTACGCTGAAGGCTTCTGAAAAAGGTGAGCAGCTGGGCATCCCCGATACCCAATAATTACACGGCCAGCCCAGTGACCGTCTGCGCGCCCCGCTGGGCGCATGATGAGGCTGATCTCTTGTGATGTGACTGTATCGCTGCGTCAACAAGATGGGCTTACCCTGCCCATCGTGTGGCTGGACAGACAGCAGTTACGATGTCCAGCCTAGTCTCGCATTCACAAAAGCCTGTGGTGCACATAAAATATTCCAGTGCTTCTGTCACTGCTGCTGATCTTCTGTGGATCCCTTTTCCATGTAAAACAGTTACTGCTTTTTGACATACACAAGCCATGCTCCTGTGCAAGTCGCAGAGGTGTCAGCTGCCTCGATTTGCCCAGTGACATTCAGGCGTGCCCCAGACGCTGCGCATTCCTACCTGGGACCCCACTTGTATGGCATAGATTTCATTTTATTTCTGCGATTGCAGGAAGAGTCTGGCTGGAATTCATCAAGTCAGTTCCTTTGCTTTTGAAGCTGTACATGGTAGAGTGAGCACAGCACAGTTACTAAATTCTTACATTAGCTAATTTGCTTTATGTTTGATTATAGTGTGCATAAGCACTCTTTTCATTTTTCTGTTTCAACCCTCTAGGAAAGAACAGAGGTCTTCCAGGAGTTCCTAAAATCCAAGACCGGTGTCTTGCTTTGCACTGTGAGTAACTTAGAGTCCCTTTGCAGCTCCATGCTAATGGGCCTGTCTGATACCTCATGGTAGAACGGGGGGTTTGGCACTGAGCTCTAATTCCAGCTCGCTGTCTGACCTTGAGGAAAGTCATCTCCTTTTTCTGTATCTCACATGTTAAATAAGGACTGGTGCCCTCTTTGGAAACTGGTTTATGACCTTTTGCTGCAAGGTACCATATGCAGAAAAACTATGTCTTATGCAAGAGGCCTCTAAGTATTTTGCATGGTCTTATGTCTGGAAAAATCTTCTTCGTTTGAAGCTGGAACCTTGTCCCTCTGCACATAGTCAGTAGGCCGCAGTCCTCGTTTGTAGTGTGGCCCATAACTGCTGGGTACACTGGATGTACTGTGATGTTTCCCATCTTTGAGTACCCCAAGGTTAAAACCAAAAGCCTGCAGGGATGGAAGGGAAGCCTAACCAGAATGGTTGTCATTAGGCATGCACGTGCTCTGCCCTCTCCATGTTTTGCCCTTCAGGCTTCCTTCAGGGGTACCCAGGGACAGATTCTTGTCCTCGACTGAAGTTTGCTGGCACCCTTGTGTTGTGGTGGCCCCTTCCGCGTCTCGTTTCTGACCTGTGGGTGCCACAGCTAGCCTGCTGCAGTGGTGCAGAAGGCTGCACGATTTGCTCTCTAATAGTGGCAGCTGTTGATCTGAAAATGTGTGAATCTTGGCGATTTCTACCCACCGCAAACTTGTAAATTACAGCGATCGGGAGTAATTAGAGCTGAGAAACCCTCTCCAGCTCTGAAATGACTCCTGTTCTTGGAGCACATTGTTCTTAAAGGAAACTAATTGCAATATTTTTCAGAGAGTAGGGGCTGAATTTTACCTGGTTTTTATGCCTGCAGTTCAAAGTAGGACTGCCATGTATATAGGAGTCTTTGATTCAGCACTGCCGAATTATATATTGTGTCACCTGTACAACTGTACCTGTTACGTGCTCATCTTGGTCCGGCTGGTGTGTACAACCTTTCCGTGATTTGATCAAGGTCAAACTCAGTGTAACCGTAACTTGGTTTTCCTCTGCACGGAGGTAATACTTAAGTGTCTCAACAGAGGAGGATTGCAAAGCTTGGATCGTTCAGTGGTGTAGGTTAAGTGTTTCGGAGATAAAAAGTGTTTGGTTAATTCTAAATAATAAATAGCTGAACTTTGTTGCCCTTCATGCACATGCTGTTTGCAAGTGAGACGTTTCAGGGACGGTGTCTTGTTACCGAAATTTCAGTTTAATGAGTTTGGAAGGACAGTGAATGCTCAATTTTTAGACAAAGAGAAAACAGAATCATTGCAATCACTGGGATATCGGTTCCTGGGTGAGACTGTTTGAAGAGGAAATGCAGCCCGTGGAAGGAAAAGTCTGCCGGGAAATGGACAGACGTTGTGGAGGTAGGAAGGAGAGTAAGTTGGATAAATGAATCGCAGTGGATGGGATCCCTTTCTTGAGACACTGGAGGACGTGGTTTGGTTTCCTGCCGTGCCGCAGACTCCGTGCAAGTGGATATGGAATTGTGATGGCGAGGCAAGTAGCCCCACGTCAGCTGAGCCATGATAGTTGTGTGTTTGCTCCCGACCTGTCACAGATGGGAGGTAACGTGAATTAACCTGGATTGCCGTGAAGAGGGTAGTGTCAGGTAACGCGTTATCGTAACCCTCCTTCGTTTCAGTCGAAGCTCCTTCGCATTTACCACAAGACAGGGACGCACGTCCTGACCGTTGCGGTTACCGAGGCTCAGCTGGCACATGGTTAGCGCGTTAAGCACCGTAACTCGTGTGCCTGAGTCCAAAATCTCTCTGTGCTTCAGCTCCCCATCTGCAAAACGGGGATAGTAGCACTGTCCTATCTTACAGAGATGTTGGGAGGACAAATGCATTGAAACCAGGAGGTGGCCTGTTACCACAGTAATGGGGACCATATGGACACCTTAATATAGAGATACACTGTGCACCAGTCCCACAGTACAGGTGCCGCCCCGACGCAGATGTCCAAAGGGCAGCCAGGCACTGTGACCACCTCCTGCCTCCGAGGGCATCGCTTTTTCTGCCGCTTTTCTTCATATCAGCAAAAATGTTTTGCGGAAAGGTGGTTCTGTTCTTCTCGCTGCGACATCACGTTTTGTGCCCACATAATTTTGAAACCTGGCTCATGAAAGAGCAACACCAATAATGTTACCGTCCTTCCCTTGTCCCTTGTGCCATGTTCTCCACCCATCTTTCCGCTCCAGCAAGCAATGGGACCTGCTGTTCCTTTTATTAATTTGCTCTATGTCATATGTATATTAATATATTCCATGAAATATTTTTGCCAGGCAGTATAAGCTGGCAGACAGGAAAATAAAGAAGGGCCGTGTATCTCAGAGGGTCTCAACCAGATTTATTTCTCTCTCCTTCACTGAAGTTCTTTGCGGCTTCCTTTGGGATGTGCCTTTTAAACAAGTTCATCTCTTCCAGGGAGAGAGGAAAGATCATTTGGAGATTGTTTGCTGTTTACTCAGTCACGCTAACTCATCTTGCCAGTTTTCTGGCGGCCCCAGCCAAGAGCTTTCGCCTCTGACAGCTTCTGTGCTCTCTCCTTCCTCCTCTGATTACGCAGCCCAATCTGTCACCCTGCCGACGGGGGTCTCTACCCTGCTGATGGCTTTCCACACTCGGCAGTAATGACTTTTGGCAGGCCGGGAAGGCGCGAGAGCTTCTTCCCCAGCTTGGAGAGCCGTTAGGCCCTCTCTGCCTGTTAGCTAAAGCACTTTGTGAGGTTCTTTGGTAAATAAATGAGTCATTTTAATCCAACTGACAGCCTGGCACCTGAGCAAGCTGCCTTCCATCTGTACTTCTAGGCCTCATGTAGGCAGCCAATTGTCAAGCTCAGGGCCTTCAAGACCTCACCATTGAGTGTCTTTCAAAAGCAACTTTAGCAATTTCCTTTGCCCTAATTAGATTGTGTGAGAGGGACTGCGCAAACCAAGGCCCTTGCAAAACTTCTGCGGCTGTGTCGGTTCTGACCTTCGGCGTGATAGGCCTCAGTTTCGGTGTGGCCTTATCACCCACCCCCTTGTACCCACCCCCTCCAGCCCCGGCCACAAGCACAGGCTGGTAACGTGAATTGTTGGGAGCAGAAATTCCAGTGTTTCTGGGGGTCCTTGGGTGGATGGTGCCTTGATATTGTGCTTGCAGTTGGGATCGGGGCAGGAACCCGGTTAAGGCTTCAGGTTATCGTGTTTGCTTGGCATCTGGGTTTTCTTTAAAATTGCGCTGGCGTGGATTATTTCTCCTCGCTGCTGTGAGATGGTCACTTAATTCTCCCTTCCGCTGCCGTTGGAAGGAACCAGCGGTGACCTGCTGAGGCGTCATATTCCTGACTTCCCTGTTAGTAAGGAATGGTGGTGTGAGGTCGTGCATGGAAAGGGGAATGCCGTCTGGGGCAGCGGAAATGAAGAGAGAGCAGTGCCTTGAGAATCTACTGAGCTTCTAGAAAGAGCGCTGGCAGCAGGTTAGCGCTTCTGCGTGTGGAATAAATGTAGTGCTAGTAAAACTGGGTAATTGTTGCTTGAGCTGTATTCCCTTTCCTGGCAAGGTGACCCACAAGTATTTTTCTAAAGATACTTAGAAGCAAGAGGCCCGTGGGCTCTGCCAGCAGAGGAAAGCAAATCAACTCAAACTTCTTACCCTAGTTCTACCTTGCTGCTGTCTACTGGGGTCTTTGAGGAAAAGGAGCTACAGGAGGCGCAGGTGGACTGATACTGAGGAATCTTTGAGAGTTTGCAAAACACTCCAATTACCAGTAAATCCCAAGACACTTCTGAAAGAAAGCCAAGTTAAACCCCAGGAGAATAGCTGCTGATATGTGTCAGTAACAGCTGAGGGGAGTTGGTGGCATTGTGAAAGCACTAGTGAATACAAGGCTGATGATGGGAGAAAGCCTCCTCCTAAAATGTTGTCCCTGGCTATTTATTCAGCTTTTGGTTAACCTTTTCAACTTTCCTGCCTGCTCTGGCAAACAGACAGGAACAGTACTGTCTGCAGCGGTAGATTCCCAGCCAGAGGTGTTGAGAAAAGGTATCTTGGAAGAGGAGGGGCAGAATCCTGATGGATGAGAGGGATAGCTCCTGCCCCTGCCGTCTGCTTCTCCTCCCCATGCTGGATGTGTCTGCTCCTGACCGGAGGGACGGCTTGGCTATCGGTTTATTTTGGGCAAACTGACCCTCTCCCAAGGTCAGAGCCCTCTCATCAAACACAGCCTTTCCCAGACTGCTGGGAGTGAGAAGGAGCACAGGATAGGAAAAGACCAAAGACTTGTCAGCGTGGAAGTGTATAACAGAGCCAGCCAGATTGGAATCAGACGTCAGCACTCCTGTCTGATCGTGCTGTAGAGTTTATAATCTTGTTATCCTGGTAACTGCGGTACACGTTCCCCGACTTCTCTTGATTTATTTTCTCCAACCTCCTTTAAATGGCTTTTTGTACATCTGTTCGTTCTGACTCTGGGAACAACTCGTTTCTTAATGAGCGCGTTGGAGCGCAAGTGTGTTATTTCAGAGTGGGCGCTGCGGAAAGTGTCTCCTCTTTTACTGCAGTTGGAGCCACAAAGCAACCTGGCTGGTGCTTATGGGAAGGCCTTTGCTGCCAAAACATCAGCTTCCTAGTCTTTTAACGTGTGTGGGAGTTGCATGAAAACACTTCAGTGGGTGGCTGACACATTTTTAGTACATTAAGCTCCTGCTTACGTTCTTAATATATTCTATTTTGCAACTAGCTAAAAGATACATGTGTTCCAAAACATTTCCTAACAGAGTTAAATCTGCACACCTGCTCTGCTATTGCGCGTGGTGAATGTAAAATCCAAGGAGTGTGTGAGGACACTACTAATGAACAGGAAATCAAGAAGGGAGATTGAAACATGTTTGCGCTCTCTCTCCGTCTTGAACAGTATTTAAGCTCTCTTTTCTCTTTGAAAGGGTATGTTTTTTGAGCTATACTGGCTGTGGATAACTAAAGGGTCTCATTCAAGTCCTCCTCCGAGTTGATGGGTTTTCTCACCAGCTGGCACATCAAATAACACTCCTGACAGCAGCTTCAGACTCTTTTCTTTGGGGTTGAGTTTTGTTTCTCCAAATCAAAGCTGGACTGGTGAAAATATCGGGGGTAGCTGAAGTCCTCCCCCTCTCCTCAAGCGGTACTTCAGCTTCCTGCAGATTCTGCTAAATTGTTTGTTGGCCTTTTATCATAGGGTCAGGCGACCTGCAAGTCATCTGCTCCTCAGCTTCAGACCATCACCTAGGAAACGGTTAACTGGGTGTAGGTGGAGATCAGTGCATCTTCGGGCATCGCACTCAAGGCCCAGGACCCTTGACCATTTGCTTCATGACCGTTTTCCTTTTCATCGGTAGGAGCCCAGTTTTAGTCCTTAGGCTTGCTGTGGAGAAAGAAATGCTCGGGAACAGTGTTGCCTCCAGTGATTTAATTCTGCCCCTCTCGCTGCTCGGGTAGTAGGTGCCTACGAGCGGGTCTGTTTTCCTCAATGGAACAAACTGAAGAACCAACAGTATCGCTACCGTTAGGGCAGTTAATTGTCAGCTGTAATGCAGAGGGACTGTAGCAGACTGCTGGAATTCAATGCCACGCTCCTGAAATAGCTGGGTTTATATCCTCCAGGCTTTGGGCCATTGCAGTGGATGATTTTTTGTTGTATTAGTCTATTAACAATATTCCTTCTGTTTTAAACCCTCAGCATGATTTCTGACTCTCAGTCCATCTCTCCCTCCCCAAACTATACACGTACACTTCCTGCTGGCACAGCCAGTTGTTTCCTGGCATAGTCTCCATCCCAGAAGAGTTGTTACTTTGCTGATCTCTTCAAAGCATTTTTACTAAAGTAATTTCCCTATTAATTTTAAAGGATGTTGCAGCACGTGGACTAGACCTGCCTCAAGTTACGTGGATCGTACAGGTAGGTTGCTGTGTGCGTATGTATGAAGTGCAGTCTTGCTCAGATGAAATCCCTTTCCAGTCCAGCCCTTCCTCCTGCAGTTTGCTGGTCCTTGTGCTGATGCCTGCAGGTGTGGGAGACCCACGCGTGCCGGACCGCAGGGCTGGGGCTCAAGGTTTTGCTAGGGTAGAGCATTGCTGTCATATCTTTGGGTTTACAGTCTGTTTCCCTCTTCAAGGACCCCAGTGTTACTAGCAGTGCGATCATATTCCACTGGTTGGGACTAAACACCCCCTGTTTCTGCCCCCCAGGAGGCCAAATCTTGTGAAATACTGGCCATCTCTCCCGCGGTTCTGTGTCTCTACGTCTCTGAGCTTGCTGGGGAGGCATTTCCATGAGGAGTTTAAGTGCCATCCTGATGTTAAACACTGAGTAGCCCAGCAGTGTCTGTGCGGTGACCTGAATGGTCCAAGCGAGGCTTTGCTGGGTTGGGTAGCAGCGTGCAGCCAGCTTTCAGCAGAAGTGCATAGTTCAGATTTGCCGTGGAAAAAACCCCCACAGCAGCGACACTGCTGCCTCGCTGTTGACAGAAATACTGTCTTTGAAAAATAGAGAAACTGAGGGAGGTGGATTGGGCGTTAAAAATAGCAGCCTGTCGTTTCAGAGAGGAAGCTGGGGGCATGAGGCAGATTTCATTTTTATAAAAGATTTATAATTAAAAAAAAACGTTAGCGGAATCGAGGAAAAACTGATCCAGAGATTCTCATGTATTGAGTGACACCTGGATGGAGAGAACAGGGCACAGAGCCTCAACAAAGCCTTTTAATTTCCACCTCATCCCTTCAGGCAACAAATTTGATTTTAATTTTGAGTTTTTTAAAAAAGAAAGATTGTGTAGCAGCTAGCAAGTGGGAGAAGGCTGGGGAAGTGAAGTCTTTAATTCCCAGATCTGTATATTAATATAATTTAACCAAAGATATAGTTGCCAGTGTTAGAACGCAGTGCAAATTACCTAAAGCCCTGGGAGACTTCTGTGTGTCCAGAAGGCGAAATCTCAGCTGTCCTGAGAGCTGTGTCCAAGAGCAAGGACCTGCAGGGAGCAATTAGATTGCTCACAGCATCTTACTCACACCTCTAGCCAGTAGAAACTTTGCCAGAGGGCACAGGTATAAACACTAGAGTGGGCTTTGGTTGTTGGGTTTTTTCCAGTTAAACTGCTGAGGGCTCATTTCTGAGCAGTATCTCTGTGCATGTTCATTTTTCCAGGAAAGAGAGGACGGGGGGAAGAATAGGGGGAGGTTAAAGGGAGGGAAATATGTCACCCTTTATCAGATCTTGCAAATGGCTGGGCAGTTTGGATTCCCAGTGAAGGAAACGAGCAGCACCGCTACGTTGGGGGGGCTTTAAGCAACACTTCCTTAGTGTCTGATGGTTGTAGACGGGAGCACAGTTGCTACCTCTATCATGCACTGCCCGAAGCACTTACTCCCTCATCTCGGAGTTCTTCTATCCAGTAACCAGCTATGATTTGCTTTAATCATGGCAATTCAGCCCAACTCCAAATTTGAATCCCTCGTCTTCTATTTTACGGCTCCGCTCCGGAAAGCGGAGCAGGCAGCGTCTTGCGTGGGCAGTCCTGGGGGTTGTTTGGTTTCGGGTCTCTGCGAGATGATTTTTATTTTTGATGAAGAGCAGCAAACAAGTTCCTGACGTGCCTGTGTAGAAATAAAATGTAAAAGGCAAAGAGAGACACTGAGATGGGGAAACTGTCCTATTATCTGGAAGTTGGCCAATGTGTCACATTCACATGTCAGAAAACTGCTGTGGCTGAGGGGGTTGAGTGATGGTTACAGGAACGAGCCCGATGGGCCCTTTATAAACAGGCCAGTTCCGAGGGACGTGCAGCGTGTGGGTTTTGCTCAGATCCCTTTTGTTTCAGATGAGCGGGCTGAGCCTCTCGTTTATAATTAACACACCGTGTTCTGCTAATTCCTCCTTTTCCTTCTCATGTTTCCTTTTTTGAAGTATAACGCTCCGGCTTCACCTGCGGAATACATCCACCGGATCGGGAGGACGGCTCGCATTGGCTGTCACGGGAACAGCCTGCTTGTCCTGGCGCCTTCGGAGGCAGAATATGTCAGCTTGCTGGCTTCTCACAAGATTAAGTGAGTCAGAAACGCGAACAAAAGTTTCAGCTCATCCTTGCTAATTAACCTTCCGTGGCACTTTCAGCGGGACTGTGTCTCGTGCAGGTTTTAATAAGAATTTATTAATTCTTGTGATCCAGGCCCGGCCCCAGACTATCAGAAGGAGAACAGGGAAGCGTGTGAAAATCATCAGCCTGACAGATTGTGCGGGAGCGAGGGTGTGCGGTGAGGGGCAGAGAGGAGACGGTAGTCGGAGGTCCTTTGCACTCCGTTGTTATCTCTCTGGCCCTGGGTTCAAATCGTGGCTATGTGGAGATCACAAGTCAAATGAGCCTGTCAAATGCTAACTGGCCATCTGCCTGCATAGCACCATATTGTCAGGGATTGTGCTTTCTCTTCAGGAGAGATCCGGTGGAGAAATAGCGAGGGAGCTGTGGGTCATATCTGGCAGGTAATTGGCCAGGATGTGTTGTGTAAGTGGCTTGTGACAGGAATAGTGGAGGCTTTTGCGAGCGCTGAGTGCCCAGGATAGGCCTGGAAGGCAGCAGGGGGGTGGACTCTGCAGACCGAACGTGGGGTGCGCTTCCAGGCTCGCTGGGGAAGTTTCTCTTGCACCCGCTCCAGCTCAGAGCTGGGAGTAGGCAGCAGGGAGAGCAAGCCAGGCTGGGCACGGGCCAGCCCAGCGTGCGGGCAGCTACCCGGTGCCTGACGCAGGATGAGGTTTTAGTCCGGCTCTGCTCGCGCAGGGGTCCTTTCATGGAGAAAAACCACCCCTCGCTGCTCAGCAGTGCTCGTCAGGAGCGCTGCTGGGCCTCAGCCTCCTCAGCAGCCAGCTGGGTGTGTGACTCCCCTTGCTCCCTGCACTGCTCTCTCTCAGCATTCCACGTCAGCCGAGCAGAGTCCCCTCGGTGTTGTACCGGTGTTGATGGAGCCCTGTAAACTCATGCACAAATTAGTTCTCTTTTATTTCCTGTGTTTATGTCGGGTGGAGCTGCTTGGAGTCGGATTGGGTTTTACATCCTTGAAACAAACAAATGTTGGCAGTAAATACAGGCGTATTCTAGGCTGCGAGCCATTTAGTGGTCTAACAAAGAGCCATCCATCATCCCAGGTAACTATCTATTAAGCAGACACCAGCAAGACATGGAGGGCTAAGCTGACAGGGTTTTTTTTTCATGTAACAAACAGCACTGACATTTAAAGGTGAAATCTCACATAATTGTGAATTTTTAACTCCAAGTGGAAAGTTCTATTTTTCTGTTTTATAATATTTTGGATGCGTTGGAGGGAGGGGAGGGAAATTTCCTATTTTTTTAGTATTTTAAATGTTAAAGCTTTCATCTGATTCTGTGGTTGTTAACAAGTGGAAGGAGCGGTGTCACTGCTGCTGGTAATTACGTCTCCTAAGGGGACCTGTTGTGGAGCTAGCCACTGCTCTCCCGGTGCCCCCACAACTCTGCGCTGACGGGGCAGAGGGGGCTTCACTGGAATATTTCTTCTGGGTTTTTCTCCGCTTCTCGAATCAGTACAGCCAGGCCACTCCGGGGATTGTCTTTTCTGCTTTATGTCCTTCATAAAACATGCTGCCCGGCAGATGACCCACTTGCCAAAAAGGGAGTGTAACTTGCCTTCCTTGACCCCCGTCTTCAGATGGAAGGGAGCAAGTGTCCGAGCGGCGTGGGTGGGCGATTCGGCC